TCAAATAATAAAATAATTTGTTTTGGTATAGAAAATAATGACAGGTATAATAAACGTATAATACTACATGTTAACAGTATATGATACGCTCAGTTTAGTAAGTCCACCAATTTTTCTGCATTAAAACGGTTAAAATTAAATATATATAGTACATTTCAATTTCAAAATGACTTAAATATATAAAATATAAATTATGCAGAATAGTACTTAAGATTAATAGTAATCAAGTTAGTATCAACAACTTTAATGTAAGTAATGTTGATTGATGCTTCATAATACCAAGAATTAACAGGGTTGCTATTATCATTACTTATGACTATATCTTTGTTAGGACTGCTTAATACTTGCCCATTCACAGTTATGGACATTAAAGGTCCATTTGAACCTTGACGAGGTTCTAACGGATCATGTAATATAGCAACTCGGTAGAACGTTTCTAAAGGAGGTGTGTAATTATCTCTACCTCTCGAGATAGTGATATCACGATTAGTTCCAGACTGAATATGTTCAATCTTTACTTCCCGATATTCTCCCTTTGCCAATTTTTTTTCCTCTGAGTCTAGATATTTATATTGAGGTGCATCAGGCGGAGCTGAAGAAAGACTAACACCATCATCCAAATACATGGTATAATTTCCCTGTTTTCCTGGATAAATATTAAGCATTATATTGCAAGGTTTACCAACTTCATGAAGTTGTCCCACCCATTGTTCAAGAGGAATTTCTGGGATTATAGCTCCAGCACGAATGTACACTGGAACATGAAATCCTAAATGATAATAATCATCACTATCGATGTGCGCATCAAAACCTCGAATCGTTGTGCCACCTTCTACTACATTCGCTAATGGAAATATGCTGTCCATAAAACTATACCAATTATCTGTAACTGGCAAATAAATATCTCGTCTAGTATCTCCAGGATTCATAATGGGCGCTACAAGAAGATCTTTACCAACAAAGAACTGATTACTGTTAAATTCAATCTTATCGTTGTATAGAGCAGTATCCTGTGGATCATTAATAAACATTGCTCGACACAGTGGCATACTTTCAAGTACATTCTCCCACATCAAATCATACCAAAGCTGCATAAGTCTATAACGTAATTCAATATAATGTCTGGTTACAGGAAGAACGGCACGGTAGAATACTCGCTGTTCGTCTGTAACACCAGGATCATATTGGTGATCTTTGAAAATATAAAGCTCTTGAAACCACTTTTTGCCATGCCTCACATAATGATTTCTAAACCATGGTAGAAACGATCCAGCTGTTGTCCAACGAATAATCAACTCAGGACTAGCCCAATGACCACCATCATCACCCTGTGCAAATCCTCCAATATCTGCACCTACTATTGAAAGTCCTGAAAGTCCAACTGCTAATACCTAAAATATATGTTGATTATGTTATTTTTTATCCTGTAATGAATTCCATATCTAATAATTTAAAAAAAAAATTTAAAAGACCTGCGCAATGTTGATTCGGTAAAAATCCCATGTTGACGCATTATCTCCAGTCCACAAACCGCAAAACCGATGAGAACCAGTAAAGCTACCACGACCTATAATAAAATTCCGTTTTCCTGCACGACTAGGAAGAAGGTTAAGACCGTGATATGTTGCTTTATGAAGATTGTAAGAAAAGAGGTTCCACACTTTAAGCGCAGGGCTTAATGTAGGGGTTGTAGAAGATAGAGAATCATCGGTAACAAGGAGTTTGAAAGGAAATCCCTAATAATAGTACGGGAATTAGTTAATAAGACTTTGATTTTATACTTAGATATTTATTTTCTATTTT